AACTAACTGGCCACCCAGGCGCCCCTCTCCTCCCCCTTCACTGAGGTATATATAACGTGCATTCAGCAGGGCACACATATCTCAAGGAAACCACCTGATGAATTTGAATACATGCATACCCAAGTGCGACTACCACCAGCTCAAGCTAGGGAGCTGGTCATTTCCAGCCTCCAGAAGGCTCTTTCCTTCATGCTCATGTCTCTGTGTCTCTGCTCTTCCTTATGCCCCCAATACTTTCCCTCCAAGTAAACATCTGGCTCATTCCTTAGCTCTTTCATGTCTCTGCTTGAATGTCAGCTTTGGAGTGAGGCCCAATCACCCTATTTGTAATTACAACACCTCTCACAGCCTCTATTTTCCCTCCCTAGTCTGTGTCTTCCCTTATCCCCTGCTGATGGATTATATGACGTGTGTGCATATATACATGCACATGTACATGCACATTTACACATAAGCCTGAAGTCCACTACTCATCACCAAAGTTCCATCAGGACAGAAACGGACCATTTTGACCCTTCCATGCCACAATACCCATAGGTCTGGCACATAACGAGTCCTCAGTGATCACTCATTGAAGGAAGACTTGAGTCACTGAGATTGTAAACGCTGTAATGAGACAATCCAGTCGCAGCGGTCTGAAACCCCCCAGTGAAGGCAATTCCCACATAACTGCCCATTAAGCGAGTCTCCTTAAGTCTCTGTTCATCGCACCTCAAGATCTAGCAGGAAGAAATGAACACGAGGATGCTGCCGGAAACCAGTCTCAGAGGGGACGTGGCCCTGCTTGCAGCCTGTCATCGAGGAAGAGGCGCTCTCTCCCCAGCACACAGAGCCAGAGGGGTCTGTAGGGAAGAAGCAGTCACTTACCCTGTCACAGCCGAGCCCCTGGACGCTGGCTGATATGCCCATTAGAGTTAAGGCCTGGGTCACTTAGGTGCTACTACTGCTTTACACAAGTTCAATGGGTTGGGAGGTGTAAAGACGGTAAACCAGTTGAGTACTTTTTACGGTGCATTAGGAAAACAACAAATATTCACCCCATGTTGCCGGCTGGAAGCAGTTAAAAGCCCTGGTGAAGACCAGGTTTAGAAGCTGATCAGACACAGAGCCAAACGAGAGCCTTGCTGAAACTCTCACCAGTGACGGGCATCTATGAGCGCGATCCAGGTCCTGCTTGACAAGGACTGGAATCCTGGAGACCAGAACAGGAGGTGGGAAGGGTCCAAGGCCCCACGGATGCCTGATGAAGCTGGCCTATTTGAAGCACTTCTCTCCTGATGACCCACCCCCAGCATGCTCTGTGACCAAGGTCAAAAATGACGTGGGCCTAAGGACAGTGGCCAAAGACTGTAGAGGGAAGAGATCAATCATGTCCTAAATGAGCTGTAGTAATTACCCATGCTACACTAGGAAAAGTCAGGGAAGAGGATACGTGCAGACTAACAAGTGTTTGGGAAGGAACTGCAGTACCGATGTGGGTCAAGCGGAACCGGTTGCCATGGTGAGAACTCCTCTGGAGACTGTGTTCCATATGTTCCTGCAGGAGGACACCCCAGTGGTTTACTGGGCTGGCTGACGTAGACCCTAGCCTTGCACTAGCCTGTGCTGTCTGGCAAGGATGGTGACTGTCAGGAAGAAGACGCTCAGAGAGCAGCAGAGCCCCAGAAAGCGGCAGGCACTCGACTCTCCACGCACTCGTGCGGCTCAGGGGGCTCTGGGGGCTCCGGGATAACACAGGCCCTGAGGGCTGCCTTAAACGCTGAATGGTAGCATTTCTTGGGTCTTTGCAAGATTCTTCTCCCTTACTACCATGTGTAATCTCATTAAAAACAAAACATTACTCAAGAGAGTGTATGGTCACAATCTGTTCCTTGGAGCCAGAAAAGCTTAAGTGAGACAGGAAAGGAGCCTGTGCAGAAGGAGGAGTGTGGGACCCTCAGCTGTCTGTTCTTACCGACTACTCTTACTTCTGAAAACTTTCCAACTCGATTCTACAACACGGCGTTCCTATAGTTCTCTTCTTTCCTAGAATAATTCATAACCTATGGAACCGAAGGGAAGATACAGCTCATTCAGCACAGGAAAGAGAGAAGCACATGGAGGCCCATTGAGAGATTTCCTTCTTACTCCATTTCCTTCAGCGATTCTTTCCCCACCGTTTAACAGGGAATGTTTTCGAATCATCTGCCCCTTTCTCTCTCTAGACTCATGATTTCAGCCTCCAATTATACATGGATCTACTCTTAAGTTTTTATTTTAAGTGCTGAATTTTTCTCCCCCCCAATAATATTAGACTTCCAATTTATCTGTGGAATGTATACTTCCAAGTTTCACCAGCGCCTGAAACTCAACATGGTTAAAACTGACATTATCTCCTTTCTCCCTTCCCACTTTCTGCATTACTCTTATTAGCATTATCCATTTTTAAAAGTTTCTGTCTTAAGCTGTTTTTTAATTTCAAAATATTCTGATCATGCAAACAGTATAAAGAATAAAATAACAAAGACTCCTGTTTTCAATTTCAACACTTAACTATTTTGCCATATTTGTTTCAGACTCAAAAACATTTTTATAGGTATGGTTGGAAGTCCCCTATCCCATTCAACCTGGCCCCTTCCTTAAGAGGCAGCCACTCTTCCAAGGTTGGTTCCTGCCAAAAGCAGATCCCAAGAGAAAGGCTGATAAACCCAGAGGACTGATTTGGAAGGTGCAGGGGCACTGGCAAGGGTGTGGGGAGGTGGTTTGAGTGTGGGAAGACAGCCAGTGGGGCCCAGTGTTAAATGAGCTACCACTGTGGGTAAGCTGAAGGCAAAGTGAGTTCTGGCAGCCTAAGGGCAGCCTTTTGACAAGAATGTTGACTGATGAAAGTTAGGCTGGGGTGCCCAGAAATAATAAGGGAATGCAGGGGGACATGGGCAGAGTACTGACAACATCTGTGATAGTGTGTGCCCATTCTTTTTTTTTTTTTTTTTAAAGATTTTATTTATTTAAGAAGCCCCAGTGGCCTAACGGATAAGGCATTGGCCTCCTAAGATTTTATTTATTTATTTGACAGAGATCACAAGTAGGCAGAGAGGCAGGCAGAGAGAGAGGAGGAAAAAGGCTCCCTGCCAAGCAGAGAGCCCGATGGAGGGCTCAATTCCAGGACCCTGAGACCATAACCTGAGTAGAAGGCAGAAGCTTAACCCACTGAGCCACCCAGGCACCCCGTGTGTGCCCATTCTATTGACATTGCTTACTTTTAATGCAACTGTTAAACATCATTAATTTTTATATTAGATGATATTATTCATAACACTAACAACAATGATACTGATGAAGGGGAACAGTGACTATAAATACACACCAGTCAACATGAAAAAGGATGGTAGTTTGGGAAAATAACTTCAGTTCAAAGAGTTGTTTAGCTATTTATTGAATTTGTATCAAGTGCTTTGATAGATCTCCCTTTCAATAGAAGGTAAAGAAATAAAACGCCAGTCACAATTCATGTTTTGTTTGGTTCCACACTTCATTTGACTTTGACAAAATCTGATTTTCTCCTGTACCTTCCTTCATCTCCTACTTTAAGATTGCAGTGATTAGGCTTAAATGATGATTGATATGTGAGATTACAAGCGTTTGCTAAGAAGACTATATACAACCAAGAATGTCTTAGAATATCATTTTCTTCTTAGCTGCAATCTATTAGCCTTTCTATTGAAAGGGAGAAAGAGATGCATGTGAGTGTACAGGGTGGCAGTGGGGGGGCGTGTAATGGAGACAAAGTTCAACCCCATAATCAGCCCTGCAGTGATATTCTAAATCATGTAGCAAAGCCAGGAATAGTTTGCCTTCTCTGTACCTCACAATCAACAGGACTCCTGATTTAACAACACAGAACTACAAAGCAGTATGTTTCCTGTTCCCTTTTGTAGAGACCAGAAGGATTTAAAATAATCTTGAAATGATATTCCTCATAGATTCTATTATTGGACAGACAGACCTCCTTCCTTAGGAACTAGCAGACAGAAAAATCACCTGACACTCGAAAAGATCTTGTAGTCAGCAGGATGTTTCTGAAGAATCACTTGTAAAGCAGACCACATACAGCAGGAGGAAAATTAAAAAAAAACAAAACAAAACTTATATTGAGATTCAAGGAGATATCCACCAAATTTCGTATTTCAAATGAGAAATGATTACAGAACTTGAAAACCCCATGGAGGACAACTGAGTGGGTTTAGATCAGAGGCAAAATATACTGGTGAAAAGAACTTCTGGAAACAGCATAAATTTTACATGTGAAAGAGAGATAATGTTTTCATGAAGTAATTCTCCACTGTTTTTCTCCTAATTCCATTTCTCTATAAAAACAAACCTCTTGAAAACAAGTAAGAAAATATATTATATGCCACATTTAAGCAGTAGGTAGGATTAGGAATAGAGAAAGGTTACGTAGAATAGGGAGTCCTTAATGTTTGTTTTTTAAAAATGCCTTCATTAATCTATTGGAAACTTTGGATCATTTCTCCTCTTTTTTTTTTTTTTAAAGATTTTATTTATTTATTTGACAGAGGTCACAAGTAGGCAGAGAGGCAGGCAGAGAGAGACAGAGGGGGAAGTAGACTCCCTGCTGAGCAGAGAGCCCAATGCGGGGCTTGATCCCAGGACCCTGGGGTCATGACCTGAGCTGAAGGCAGAGGATTTAACCCAGTGAGCCACCCAGGCGCCCCCCCTCCCCGCTTTTTGTTAAAGTACTCTCCATACCCAACAGGCAGCCTGAACTCATGACCCCAAGATGAAGAGTCGCACGCTCTACCAACCAAGCCAGCCAGGCGTGCCTGGATCCTTCTTACAGAAAATTGTACATTTGTACAAGACATAAGATGAGCATAGAATTTCAGGAATTCATGGGCTCCCTAGAGCTCCAAAGGTTGTAGTGATCCGTCTATTGACCCACTAGTGGTCCGAGAACCCCAGGTTAAGACTCTGTCCTTCAGGAAGCAGAGAACACTTACGTTGTACAGAGGGATGGTCTTCATCACCTTGTACTGTTTAGTGGGATCCATCTTATAGAGGTGACGATCGGTGACAAAAATCGCTCGGTCCTCCACCTTACTAAATCGATTCACCTATAAGAAAACAAACCAATAAGCCATCATAGCTCATCAAGAATGAAATCAAATGAGCCACCAGGAAATTATCTATCTAGGGGCAGAGGCGGCTGGCTGGGGAGACACATTCTTTAACAGATAATGTACCATTCTCCAGGATGAACAGAGATCTACAAGGACTTGCAGTTTCCAGATTTACAGGATTTTACAGTTTAAGTTTCACCATTTTATAATTCAACAGGAAAAACAACAAAAACACATAAGAATTAAAGGACTAAAAACATGTGACCCAGACACTGTAAAGAAAATGAAAAGAGAACCCAGAAACTAAGGAGCAAATGTCTTGCATATCACATTTCTGTTAAGGGACACAATTGTATGTCTAAGAGAATAGAACATACATTGTACCTAGAATATATATCTCCATAATAAAAAGACAAAAAAAAAAGAGTAAAGGATTCGAACAGACATTTCTCCAGAGAAGATACACAAATAGCCAATAAGCACATGAAAAGATGCTTGACATTAGTAGTCACCAGGGAAACGTAAGTCAGAACCCCGGGGAGATACCACTTCGCACTCACCAGAATGACAATAATAACAAAGACAGATAATAACAAATGCTGGCCAGGATGTGGAGAAACTGATTGGAATGTGAAATGATGCAATCACTTTGGAAGAGTCTGGCAGGGCCTCGAGTGGTTAAATCTAGAATTACCATCCGACACAGAAATTCCACTCACAGGTGTATAAGGGAACTGAAGACATATCCACAGGAAAACTTGGGCATGAATGTGCACAGCAGCCTTAATCATGACAGGGACAACGTAAATGTCCATCAACTGATGAACCGATAAATAAAATAGGATATATCCACACCACGGAATACAACTGGTCAACAAGAAGAAATAAGTGTAAAAACATGATGCTGAGTCAAAGAAGTCAGGCCCAGAGGACCACGCTGCAAGACCTCATTCACATGTAATATCCAGAATAAGCAAATCTGTAGAAACAGAAAGTAGGTTATTGATTGCCTAGGGCTGGAGGAAATGGAAGGTTCGGAAGGATGACAGCTAAGGGTTGGGGGTTTCTTTTTGAAAACTGATGGTGGTGATGGTTCTACAGCTCTGTGAACACACTGAAAGCCAATGGATTGTATACTTGAAAATGGTGAGTGATATGGCACGCAATTAGATCACAATAAAGCTGTAAAAAATGTAAGCCCTATCAGAAATGACTCATTCTGCCCCTTTTCTAATTCCCTAAAAGTATAATGAGTATGTCATTAAATCTACATGTTTGGGGGTGCCTGGGTGGCTCAGTTGTTAAGTGTCTGCCTTCAGCTCAGGTCATGATCCCAGGTTCCTGGGACTAAGCCTGCTGTCAGGCTTCCTGCTCAACAGGGAGCTGCTTCTCCCTCTGCCCCACCCCTCCCAGGTCATGCTCACTCTCTTTCTCTCTCTGGCAAAAATAAATAAATAAAATCTTTAAAATAAAATCTTTAAAAATCCACTTGTTCAAAAGTGGGACAGTGCCTTCCTAGTGCCTATGGCATGAATTATGGCACGAATGCCTCATAATTACCACTGTCCAAAACAAGAAAGGGCCACATGGAAAAGCAGTACATGCTCCCCCTGCAGACAGGACAGGATCAGATGCAAGGTGGACCCCTGATGTGGGTGTGGTAGAGGGGGTTCCTGCTTTGAATACGAAGACTCAAGCTTTCTAAGGACCCCTCCCGCTCAGATCCTAGGATTCCTTTATCTGACTTTCAAGAGTTTTTCTATTTGTCACTATTCTCCTTTTCATTTATTTTTTTATTTAAAATTTTTTTTTCTTTTTAAATAATCTCTACACCCAACATGGGGCTTGAATTTATAACCCCGAGATTAAAAGTCCCATGCTCTACTAAGCCAGCCAAGCACCCCACTAGTCTCCTTTTTAAACTTTATTTCTTTACGGGCTCTGCTCCGATCTAACAGTTTTCCTCATGTTATGCTCTCTCTTAAATGTTTATGATTTTCCACTCTCCTTTTTAGCTCTCTGTATTTTAAGATAATGCTCAAATTCTCATTTCATTATAAAACTGCTAAAATTTCTAAAGTAAAAAAACGATTGCCCTTCCCTCTCACCTTTTATTACATAGTTTGGATACATACGGAGTTAAGACTAAAACAAGAAAATTAACATCGTAACCAAAGGGCACAGGGTTTTTCTTTTAAAGCAGGATACTCAAGCATGACGAGCTATTGTCTAAGCACTTTTGCTAATATGAAATGCTCGATCCTCTCCCAAATGCCTTTTTTTTTTTTTTTTGAAAGAAAGACAGGGCAGGTTTGCTGATGTTTATAAATTCCAAGACAATACAGTTAAATCTATCCTTAGTCTCTACCTTCTCACTGTGAAGTTTAGTTAGTATCTACACTTCTTTACTAAAAGGGCAAAAGTTTTCATTTAATAACTGTAAAGTTTTACAAGGACACTTGTAATTTTGGGGCCGTGGATGCGTGTTAGGAATACATTTGATAAAACAGTTGTGTAGAACACTGTGTTTTTAAACTTTGTTGAAGCTCTGTTTGGCACAGGATGCTGATTCTACTTACGAATTTTGTGATAAGCTACTATAACCTCATGAACGTATATCTAAGTAACTCAGCCACTATAAAAGATTATACAGGTTACCTGAAGATTGGCAGTATATGAAAAAGCTGCTTCCCTTGTAAAATAGCTACAAATAGGTTACCAAAATAGTGACAAATAAAACTTAGGAATTTACTTGAAAACAAAGAAAAATCTCATATTCAGCCGTATGATTTTTTTTTTTTTAAATGAAGATCAAAAAACAAAACTACTTTATGGTAAAGGCAGTCAGAAGAGTGGTTGTCCTTGGTACTGGGAGGGCTTGGATGGGAAGGGGCATGAGGGAGCTTTTCAGGGTAATGGAAATGTTCTCTATCTGGCCAGGGTTGTGATTTACATGGGTGTACACACTCATCAAAATCAGTGAACTCTATACTTCAGATCTGGGCATCTACTTGTATATAAATTATACCTCAATACAAGTACATGAACAAAACACCATAACATCTCAAATATCCAGGACAGAGCCATATTTACTGCCTTCTTATTTCACAGACAGGAATCCTGTCTTCTAGCCAGGTTGGAAGTTCCCTGAGGGTCGTTATCATCTGATGGCTTTTTCCTTATACCTCACAGCCTCCAGTACAGAAGTGGGCAGCCCGTAGCGTTTACTCTACCCTTGCGGATCGGTTGGTTTTGAAAGCAATTCTAATCCGACAGGATAATTTCAAGAGGAGCTTCTCCCCACATGAGCCAATCAGTGTTGATGACTGGAAAAAACAGCAGCACACTGGGGAGGCTGCATAATGTGTGGAAAAAAAATGTCCCAAGTGGCAAATGATAGCACTTTTGTTCAATAGCTTAAGTCCTCATTGCCTGGTATGGTCTTGGAAAACCTCCATTTCTGCTGAAGAAAGAGGAAGTGGGGACTCTGCTTTCTTCTTTCTGAGGCTGGAAGACTATCAGGAAGCGATCTCTTCAATAAAAAGCTCCCTAATACAGCAGGCACTATGAAAACCCATGTATTGCGGGGCGCCTGGGTGGTTCAGTCGGTTAAGCGTCTGCCTTCAACTCAGGTTGTGATCCCAGGGTCCTGGGATTGAGCTCTGTGTCAGGCTCCCTGCTCAGTGGGAAGCCTGCTTCTCACTCTGCCCTTCCCCCTGCTTGTGCTTTCTCTCTAAAATAAATAAAATCTTAAAAAAAATTAAAAGCGCATGGATTGCTCATTGGGAATTATTTATTCTTCTGGTTGGACTAGCTGAAATTTATTTGTACTTTTTTTTAATCCCATAAAGAGTCTTTTCCATGAGTTATTTTTTCCTTCAGAGTCTGTATTTCTGGAGGGCAAGACACTGCCAGCAGCTGTCACTACAATACTCTGTATACAGAGTATGGACAGGCCAGAGAAACTGTCCTGAGCGAATCTGGGAGAAACCTTTGTGTCTGTACTTGCAACGCTGTATTGGTCATATTACCCTTATAAAATCCTTAGTTTCACACTTCCATTGAGAAAAGGGGTCTTTCTATAATCACACATCTCAAAATGGTATTGCTATATTTTTTAAATCCAGCACATTGCTACAATTGATTAGAAAAAAAGTTATACTGGTAAGCATTTCCTTAAATTAAATAATTTGATAATTTTTTTTCTCAAAATGGCAATGTGCACTTTTAAGCACTGTATAAACTGCTAATATTTGAAGAAATGATATGAAGCCCTTGGTTATAGTAAGAATCTGAGATTAGTAGATGGGGTTGAGCTAGGTAAGAAACGAACATGTGAAAATAATTTCATATAAAGATAAACATAAAGAAAATAAATCTAGATAATGGGATTGGGAGAAAATACACGTGTGATTCAGTAGAGTGCTACTTTATGAGAGAGTCAGAGAATGCCCAATTTACAGGTAAATCTTTCTCTGATAGGCAGAATTAACCACAGGCCATTTTATAAATAAGGAATTAATTACATGCTGACTGGGATGTTTCAATCTTAGATTTGGGTAATACTTAAATCAAAACTGAGCACAGGGGTGCCTGGGTGGCTCAGTGGGTTAAGTCTCTGCCTTTGGTTCAGGTCATGATCCCAGGGTCCTGGGATTGACCAGGGTCCTGGGATGGAGCCCCGAATCCGGCTCTCTGCTCAGCGGGGAGCCTGCTTCCCGCCCCCTGCCTGCCTCTCTGCCTACTTGTGATCTCTCTCTGTCAAATAAAAAATAAAAATCTTAAAAAAAAACCCCAAGAACTGAGCACAAAAACATTTCTGAACAACTATAAAGTCATATCTCTCAGTGATTAGAGGGAAAAGCAAAGCAAAACAACAAAGAACACTATAAACCCCTCCCCTAAGCAAAACAGAAGGCAAACCTGTGATAATATCCCCCCTCCCCCGCTCCCCAGATCACATTTTCAAGATGCAAACAAAGAAGTTAGAGACT